GCGGCCCGGCACGGCGGTGCCGCCAGGTGCGTGCTGGACCGCGCGTCCCCTCGCCTCGGGGCTTCCAGTCAGGCCGGTCGAAGCACCTCGCGTTTTTTTTCCTTTTCTTCTAGGAGGCGGAGCGGTGAGATAGTTGGAAAAGCGTACCTCGGGATCCGCGCCGCTGCCGCCTTCCAGCTGTGCTGGTGCGGTGCTGAGCTCTCCGGCCCTTTGCTGGGCTTCGGCGATGAAAGGTATTCTGTTTGCCGCTTAGCGGCTTCCCGGTCCGAACTCTCTCCTCTGACCCTCGGGACGGCAGCTAACGTTTCCCTATTCCTTGCGTGAGATAAGAAACACGAGGGCAAAGGCAGCCGTCGTGCGGCGGCGTGGCAGTGCTGCTGCAGCTGGCCGCGCCCGCTCCGTGTCCCTTGGTTGCCGTTCTGCTGCAGATAATGAGTGGAACAGGCTCTAGTGGCTTTTTCTTTCCCTGAACAAATGAATCTAGTGGTTTTCCCTGAAAACGTTTGTACAAAGGCCGGGCTGTCAGAGTCTCAACCAGCAATTCTCACTGCATCGCTCACATAACACTGCCAAACCTTTCGGTTCTGTCTCATTGTGCTGCACCACACGGCAAGTACCCTGTCCCTGCTTTGCTGAAGCTTCGCTAATTCTAGGTACCTCGTTTGATTTCAAAGATGGTTTTCAGAAGTGCTTTTTCTTCATGGGCATTTCCACTCTAATTTCAATGCCTTAGGCTGGGTGATCAAAACAGGTACAGGAAGGCATAGGCCTCACTGCTGCTTCTGTTTCTTCAGCTGCCATGGGAGATGGAAATCCCTCAGCATTGGAGTATATTCCAGTCTCACATCAGTGTCAATAAAGTGACTCAAGGATCCTGTATAACCAAGATGTTATAATCACAATATAATTGTGTATAATCAATAGATATCAAGATGTTATAATCGCAATATAATCAAGAGAGTAAGGCAAAGCAGACAAGAATCACAAAAAGAAAATAAGTGGAAGAGCTTACCCTTGGGTTGAGCTCACCAAAAGACACCAAAAGAGGGGATCTCCAGAAGAGATCCTTCCCCTCTGGTAGCCAGCTCTTAAATAGGTCTAGGAGGGCTGGAGCCTGGCTCCACCCCTTCCGGCAGCACAGGTGAATTGCCTTCACCTGTGCTCCTCTGGCTGACTCAAGGCTCACCTCAGGTGATCAATCAGAGGTTCAGGCCGTGACTCAGCAGTTCCCATACAGATCCCAAATTATTTATATATATATATATATATATATATATATGTATTTGTATGTCAGCCTTTTTCCCATTCAATGTCTGAGTTTGTGAGTTAAGGCTACAGACATCTTTCTCTCCTCACATTACCTGGGAGAGCTTCCCACCGCTACCATTTCCTTGTTATAGCATTTCATGTGTAAATCATGGATATCATCTGCAAATCAGTAGCAGTTAGTGCCAAGAGGACAAAGCCGTTGTGATCTCTGATAGCTCTCCATCAGTGATGTATGTGAATCTGGAGGAGATGCTTCCAGAGGAAACCTTTGCTGCAGGCCATCTTTCTTGCAGCCTTCGGGGAAGACACCTGCTCAGTGCACAACATCCATGAACCAGCACACCCAGCACCTACTGTTGTACTAAGGGACATGGTTTGATGGGGAAACATTGGTGGTAGGTGCACGATCAGACTAGATGACCTTGGAGGTCTTTTCCGACCTTGGTGATTTTATGATTCTATGACTCTGCTGGTGCAGCAATGCCTTTCCCTGCCGTCTTCTTCAGTGCTCCCACACAGCCATGCAGAGACACAGAGCTCTCTCACAAGCACAAGGGCTTTGCTATATCCTTCACCACCTAGGTAACAGGAATGCAGGCTTCAAATAAAGCCTAATTAGGCTGAGAGGAAATGAGCAGTTGACTTGATACTACATGCAAGTAGAATTAGATTTATTTTAAGCTTATAATATACAAAAAAAGAAAAAGACAGCTTATCCTTTTGTGGGGAAAAAAACAGTGCAAGCATATCATGGGAGAGAAATCTCAATGGTAAGACACCATGCCAAATGGCTGTGTGCTGTCTATAAATGTCCCTAGAGATCAGGGTGATATATTGACCACAGAAAGGCCCAGAGAATTCCATGCACCGTGCAGAAATCGATGCCTCTCACTCAGATGCAGTATTGTGGCAGTATCTTTTCAGCAGCAGGCTGCAGTGAGAGAAGGTGAATCTTAGATTGTTAGTCATTCAGCTGCAGCTCTCCTTCCAACAGTCACCAAAGATGAAAAACAAACACAGGAAAAACAACACGGCATTCGCCATTTTCCCCCAGATAATTATCTAGTCAAATTACATTATACTTTACATTAAGTATTCAGCAGCAGTGTTGACACTAGGCGTTTTAAGAAAGAAAAAAAACTAATTTATGTCAGAGATGTTAAGATACACGCAAGTATTTTTATTAGAAATATTCATGCAGAGATCAAAAAGCATCTTCCTACTAAGAGATAGAGGGGAAAGATTTTTCTACAAAGGAGATTTTTACATAACTTCACAAATGATGAGCTTTATAGTAAAGCTCTGACACACTGAATTATGGATGTCTGTGTGGAGGTTTAGCTTGTGAAATTTTTGTGGATTTTTGCCTGCCTGCTGAAAGGAGAAGGAAGAACATTGTTTGTAGTTCTTTTTAAAACGATTCATTTGAAACTGTGTCTGAGAAATGCCACTCTAAAACAGACCGTGTCAATATATGTTCTTCTCTTACTGTATGCGGTAACAAAACGCTTCCTCTCCTCTGACAGTTTGTCGAGCTGTAATTGTTGGCATCCTAGGTGTTTGACTTCCCTTCTGAACAAAGAAGGAAACATTTAATCTCTCCAAAACACAGTACAGCCCACGACTCAATGCCAATGTCACAGTATCAGCTAAGTGAACAGAGCAGTCAGGTCAAAGCCAGCTCTTATTGTTCATTATCACAAGAGCTGCGAGCAGAAATGTGAATTACAGAGCAGTGGAAAGCATCCTGTGGAGCTTTTAGTCACTCTCCCTGGTGGCATGTTGTAAGTCTATGTGCGTGTGCCACAACCAGTTGGGCAGTTTTTGCCACCTTTCCCCTTGGAAACACTTAGGCTAAGGTGACCACGTGATTATTGCCTCAACATCGCTGTTTCTTGCAATAACAGAACTCTAGAGTCCCTCTAGTGCCCAAATGAAGGAAATAAAACACGTGAGTTGAATACCTTTTTAAAATGCGTTATCAACCACCAAGCAAAACAAAAGCTTCCACTGAAAGTATATTTATGCCTGGCTTTGCATAAGAGACTGTATTCAAGCTGCTTCTGACTGGGACAAGAAACACAACTGTATCTTTAACTCCTATGGTAAAATTTCCATTTTAAAAACCTCCTTTTTCTGTGTGTCTACCATTTGATAGCATTTAGCTTTTAAAGATTACTTGGAGGTGATATCTGTCTGCAAACATACGTCTCAAGCTGGCACATGAAAGCTTTAAGCAAACGAGATCTAGCCATAGTGGGAGGACTTTCACTGGAGCAACCCTGCCTTTGTAGCCCCTGACTATCTTTGATCTTTTTCCAAAGGAAATAGGTACCCAAATGAATTACGATGAGTTAGTTAGCTTTAGATGTCAAAAGCCAATCTTTGTATTAGAAGTAGCATGGTTGGAAAGCAGAGTATGAATTACTGCTTCCACCTGCTCTTGGGGACACAAGGAGTAAGAATTACAGCAGAGACACAATTCCAGCGGGGATTTGGATCCTTATTTCTCACTGCTGTGATTGAAAGGAAAGGGTCCCCAGATAACATGCTGAAGTGCAGAATGCACAGCACAAATCTCTTATTGAGTAAGCAGTTATGCACAGAGCCTCCTTTCCCTCTGTCATTTACCTAACCCAGCTCCCTTTCCTCTCAGCTCTTGAGGCTTTGTGTCATCTTAGTTATGGGGCTGGTTGCCTTTGCTGGAGAGGAAAAAACTGGATGTTAGACTTGTCACATCAGGGACATCTCACAGGACATTTTGTAAATGTATTCAAAAGGAAGTGAGGAGATTACTGATCCCTGCAGAATGCAGCTGGTGACGTTTCCCAGCCTGAACCATTTTTCACTGCTTTAGCCTGTTTTCTAGCGTAGAGAGGAACAGTTTATCTATTCAATTCCCATCTCCATGAGCAGGAAAAGGAAGTCTCTCAAGGGACAAAAAAAAAAAAAAAAAAATTGTTGCTCTTAACATTTTCTAGTTATAACAGGGGATCACTGTCAGGAAGTAATGACTGCAAGTCTGTGAGCTTGAGCTGTTTGCTTTGCTGTCTCTACCTTCTCACTTGTACAAGCACTGCCATCTTTGTCTAGCCTGAAAGCTGTAGGAATAAAACTACTGCCCCTTTCAGTTTTACCAGGTCTTCTAATGCAATAAGCATCCACTGCCTTCCTACAAAGTTGAACAGAAGGTTTCAGTAGTGAAATCTCTCTTTTTTTTACATTTGTAGCAAGCTTATGTGGAAAAGTTGCTTTTCAAAGTAAATATGACACATGCATTACTAAAATTCGTATTGGTTAGAACTTGAGGGGTATACTATTTCTGAGAGTTAATTTCCTGTTCTACTGAAAGAGTCTGAAAGAGTTTTTCCAATGGTATCTACTGAGAATTAAAACCACAGAAAGAATCTGTAGCTGTGCTTGCATACTTGCACATGGAAACTCTTCAAGTCTCTGATAGCTTCACCAATAGCTTCTTTTATTAATGTAGAATTTTGATAAGGCTTTCTACTTCTTAATATGCTCATACTCTTATACTCAAACATGTAAATTTTACTGCATTTTCCAAGCCTAAAGCTTAAATTACCGGTTGAAAACAGATTAGCCTAATCAAGTTAACATAATGGTACAAAATACCAAGTTCATCTTGATTTTTGGACTTCACATTTCTTTTACTCTTTCTACAAATAAAACACTGCCATTATTTGTTAAGAGAGGGGAAGCATCTGCAGACATAACAAGGAGTTGTTTATTTGCCTCAGCTACAAACATAGCCAGCTTGCTGCTAAGAGTCTTCCATTTTTGAGAAGACAACAGAGTGCATACCTTCAGGAGAAGGCTGGAGTGGACACAGGATTCCTGCAGTCCTAAACTCACTGAAGAATTAAGGCAATTTGCAGAGGGCTGTGATAGACCTTGCCCTCTTATATGGAGCAAGAAGAGAAGAGAGAAGAGAACCAAGCCC